GTTTTTGTCCACTTTTTACAATTGATTGGCATATGAGTAACCATGTGTGTTATTTACCTTTGAACCTCTCGTGTTGAATGTTATTATTGTCTACATTTTTGTTGCTATTGCTGTGGATTTTGTTTTTCCTTTAATTTCCCTTGTGCAGGACAAAATTCCCGTGTTTCTTAAAATGAAAAAAATGAGAATTACCACCCGATTCAAGCCGGCAGCATATCCTTTCCCACGACAATGCCGTTTAGTCTGCTCCAATGCCGTCTCGGTGGCAAGAAAGAGTCGGGCCAACTACGATTTGGAGGACGAGACAACCATTTAGAGACAAATTAATTCCATTTGATGTTTTGAAAAGGCTCGGCATGTCATGTTTTCATATTAGGTGTGAAAGGTCACTGAGTTCAGATCGACAGCACAAACAATCGCTCACATTCCAATAAGCGAACAAGACGTGTTGGCAAGGAAAAACGAGCCCACAACATCGACATCGTAGGTAGACGGGTTTCTAAATTCCAATGTGAGATTATTGTTACGGTTCATATTATTTGCTAATTTGTCAGTTGTGGTTTTTATCAAATTCAGTTTAAGATATTAATACCATACTATTACTTATATAATACATATTTTTTTTCTTTTGAAAAAAAAAACCAAAATAATTTGGGCGGGATAAATCCCCTCTCCCCAAAATTCTGTTAGTTTCTGTTACTTATAAGAAGGCTCTGCACGCGTGCACTCCAGTCACATTCGCTCTGGTACCCATTCTCATCTTTCTTCTTCTTCCTCCTCCTCCTCCTCCTCTTAGAGTTTAATTACATTTTTTTTTCTTTTTTGTAGGTAATTCTGATCGTCATTATCTGTGATTCGCTCTCTTCGGTAAACGCTCTACTCTACTCTCCTCCTCCTCCTCCTCCTCCTCCTCCTCCTCCTGCTTCTGTTTGTGTAGTGATTTCGTGTTTCGCTCTAGTTGGTAAGCGCTCTACTCTTTATTCTGATCGCGATGCTTTAAATTATTCGGTGCGTTTTTGCGTGTGTTCTTCGATCACCGATTTATTCTGTTTTCTTCTTTGTTTGCGCACCTATTTAATATGTTCCTATCTATTCCTTTTTTATTTATTATTTTAATTGAGGTATGAAGCGTTCTAATTTTGGAGCGCCTTATCTTGAACTGAATCTTTAATCCGGCTGAAAATCCATTTGTGGTCCGAGAGACTTTTGATCCGATTAAACCCTTAATTCAGAGTTTCATCTTTGTATACTTTCAAGCATGCACTTGTATTCTTTTTTTCTTTTATCTCTTATAATGTATCTTTCCTGGAAAGTAATTGACTATGGTTTTTAATTGATAATATGTTGATAACTTGTTACTGGGTGTTATAATTTGATACAGAATTTTTAATTGAGAATATGTTGGGAAGTAATTATTTCTTCTGTAGGTTTATAAACTTAATAATAGTTCATTTATAAAATAAACGAAATGAATATGTTGGGAAGTAATTATTTCTTCTGTAGGTTTATAAATTATTGATGTACATGGTTGCCATAAATCTAATGTCACAGAGTATACAAGGTTTATAATTTAATTAAAGTTCATTTGATGTAAAAGTAGTAGATGTTACTATATGAGTTGTAAATTAAAGTTGATGTAATGTGTAAAAATGAATGGTTGATATTATTTAATTATATTGAGAATAGTGGAGTTGAGATAAATTTGAGTTAAAAATGATTATTATTTATAAAGTGAGTGTATGTGTGTTTTGTGTGGACAAATTCTTCAAGACTGTAATGCATCTCTGCATTTGTAGCTCAAACAGTCCATATTGAACTATGAAACATCCATGTTGGGTTTTTAAAATATTATATCTTAAATAGACTAAATGAATGCTTGTGTTTGGGATTTTTTATTTTTTCCCCCCGCAGGTCATTATCAATTCACTAATCTCACTTTCGGCTGGTAATCAATTGCTGCAGGTTAGTTTTCTTTATATATTATTAGATTAGATTGCTCAAGATTATTAAATTGGTGGTGAGTATTTATTTGGTGATAATATAATATCATAAAATGTATTTTTCGTTTAGTTAGTATTTTTCCTTAATTTAAACAGCTATTTGTGTATATGGTATTATCTGAGGATTGGAATTTAAGCAGGATTGTGGCTTTTGCGATTTAATTGTTTTAATCTGCAGACAATGGCTGCTGCACAAGCAAACGTCATCGGCCGCAAGGTGTTGACACACAGTGATATGTTAAATCTTGAGATTCATAATGTTCTCCAGCAGCACATTCATTTCCACGCCAACCGACAACAACTCGTTTTCGCTACTCCAGCAGGAGACTTCAATGTGAGGGACTCAGAAACTCGAATGAGGCTTTCCTCTGGCGCCAAGGCTGGCTAGCCCTGTGCAGATGCAAATGGCTGGGGAGAAGGAGTCCGAATCTCCTTTTCATTTGACCCAAATGGCGTCGAAAACCGTTTTGTGGTTATGTTGGCACCTGAGACTCCACCGGGTTCTCCTGTTCAGAATGAGTAGTTGAATAATCTGCTTTTATGTTTCTTTGCTGAGTACTACTAAACTCTGTCATTTGACTTTTGGAATCCTCAAGAGTATTTTTGAACTCTGTTGCTATTTTTGTTGATATTTGATTACCTTACTAGTAACAAGTTCAGAATGAGTAGCTTTTATGTTTCTTTGCTGAGTACTACTAAACTCTGTCATTTGACTTTTGGAATCCTCAAGAGTATTTTTGAACTAATCTGTTCTGTTCTTGTTGATATTTGATTACTGATTTGGGAAGTCCACATGAAACATAACAGATTACATGTGGACTTCCCAAATCAGTAATCAAATATCAACAAGAACAGAACAGATTACAGAGTTCAAAAATACTCTTGAGGATTCCAAAAGTCAAATGAGAGAGTTTAGTAGTACTCAGCAAAGAAACATAAAAGCTACTCATTCTGAACTTGTTACTAGTAAGGTAATCAAATATCAACAAAAATAGCAACAGAGTTCAAAAATACTCTTGAGGATTCCAAAAGTCAAATGACAGAGTTTAATAGTACTCAGCAAAGAAACATAAAAGCAGATTATTCCGCTACTCATTCTGAACAGGAGAACCCGGTGGAGTCTCAGGTGCCAACATAACCACAAAGCGGTTTTCGACGCCATTTGGGTCAAATGAAAAGGAGATTCGGACTCCTTCTCCCAGCCATTTGCATCTGCACAGGCTAGCCAGCCTTGGCGCCAGAGGAAAGCCTCATTCGAGTTTCTGAGTGACGCCCTCACATTGAAGTCTCCTGCTGGAGTGACGAAAACGAGTTGTTGTCGGTTGGCGTGGAAATGAATGTGCTGCTGGAGAACATTATGAATCTCAAGATTCAACATATCACTGTGTGTCAACACCTTGTGGCCGATAAGGTTTACTTGTGCAGCAGCCATTGTCTGCAGATTAAAACAATTAAATCGCAAAAGCCACAATCCTGCTTAAATTCCAATCCTCAGATAATACCATATACACAAATAGCTGTTTAAATTAAGGAAAAATACTAACTAAACGAAAAATACATATTATGATATTATATTATCACCAAATAAATACTCACCACCAATTTAATAATCTTGAGCAATCTAATCTAATAATATATAAAGAAAACTAACCTGCAGCAATTGATTACCAGCCGAAAGTGAGATTAGTGAATTGATAATGACCTGCGGGGGGGAAAAAATAAAAAATCCCAAACACAAGCATTCATTTAGTCTAGCCCGACGGGTCGGCCCGTTTAGCCCGGAAAAAAAGAGGGTTATGTCTTTTTATTAATAGCCCGTTTAAATCAGGGCTTTTTAGGCCCGCTAGGGCTAGCCCGAAGCCCGCTAGGACTGGCCCGTTTAACTAGAGTTGGGCGGTGTAAATGTTTGCATCAATTAAGTAATATACTCTTAAATTCTTTGTATATTACAATTTTGATATTCCACTTCACATGTAAGTACGAGTTGTAATGGATTATTATGATTTTGAAATATAATTATTAACAATATTGTTATTGTACTTCATACCAAAATATTTAAGCCAATCAGAACGACTAAAAAAATACATGAAACATAGTGATAGACGGTAAATATTAAATAGCCGTTGAAAATAATTTTTAACTAGCCGTTGTTATTTTTTTTATATTTTTTACTCTTTTTATTTTTTATTTTTTTTAATATATTATTATTATTATTATTATTATTATTATTATTATTATTATTATTATTATTATTATTATTATTTTATTATTATAGCCATAGCCCGTTTAGCCCGAAGCCCGCTAGGGTTAGGGTTAGGGTTAGGTTCTTTTTTTGGTAGCCCGTTTAAATTCGGGCTTTTATGCCCGGACCGTTTAACCCGAAGCCCGCTAGGGCTAGCCCGTTTAATATCTCTATATAAGGGTTGCTTAAATTTGATTTTGTAATTATTTGTGCCTTGTAATTTGGTTTCAAAATAAATTTCAAAACTCATCTCTAATTTTTTTTACAAAGTGCATTGGGATATCTCAAAGTTTATTTGGTGTAATTTTATTTCAAATATAATTTGAAACTTATCTCTCATTTTTGACAAAATACATTAATATAGGCACAAAATTCATTGTCCTTTTATCTATAAATTCTTAAATGGCATTGAATTATGAATGATGGTGATCCAATTAAAGTTACGTAAATGTTATTATAAATATAGTTTTGGCTATATTTTGACTAAATTATTAAGTTGACTCCACTTTTGATAAATGGATGTTATAATAAAAATCTTAACATAAGTTTGCTATAGATAAGATTAGGACTTAAAAAAATGACTAATATATAAAAAATGACTAATATTAACTAAAAATGGTTGAAAAAAAGTCCACCAACATTAAATACATACTAACTTGGAAAAGTTCGCAAATATTTTTATAATAAAAAGTTTGCGAAACCATTAATTGCATTAAATCAATCACCAAATTCACGGATTTTGAAACTTATATACAAATTCGCAATTTATTTCTTTATGCATTTAAATTAGCAATAATTTTGAAAATTAATATACTAAAGTCAACTTTTGTGATATATTTTTGTGATTGTAAATCAATCGCATTTTTTTAAAATAAATATAATAATGCTTCATTCCAATTAAAAAAAATACAAAATAATCTAAACCTTTGAAATAATTTATTGCCTGAATACGTTTTTAGCCTCTATTTTTTTCTGATTCAATAATGAAGTAATTTACAAACTACTTTATATATAATAGTGATTTCAAAAAGTTTTTATCGGACTCTTTCAAATTTAGAATTTTGTGTTATATTAATTTCAAAACACTATCTTCGTGAATACATTATAATAATCAAAATCCTTTATTTTGTGAACAGAATGATAGTGATTTCATTAGTTCCTCAAAATCTTTTTGTATTTAAAATGTCAGTGTACACAAAACAACATTCTTTGTATCTTAGATAAATTTGTGGATGGCACCACAACAAAAACAGATATAAAGACCCTCACGATAGCAAGCCTTGGGCCAATCGGGCCTAAGAGCTTGGCATCAGCTAAAGCATGATCAGCTTGGCCGAGACGTATCCAACAAAGACTAATATTAGAAAGCAATGTTGCATCAGTTGGGTCCAAGTCAATTGTAACAAATAGCAAAATCAAGGGACACTTGGCACATCAGAGAATAAATACTAAGTTACATATATGTATATGTTTATGCATGTATATATTATGATATTTCAAAGTGACGAGGATATAGAATAAATTTGATTACGCAAAGAGTTGAGGTAACATCCAACACGTGATGCTGAAAGGACAGAAAATATGAAATGAATTACAAATAGAGCAGATTACCTCAAAAGGCCAAAAAATAATGTATAAAAGTCAGTGTCCTTTTACAAATCCTCAATAAAATAATATGATTAGACAAATATGGGCACAAATTTGTCCTTCCCTGCGAGTTATTGGGATTTAACATGGAAGAATAAGCTGAAAAAGGAGTTCTATATTCAGACTACTGTTCATTAAAAAAATCTTTCTACCGCAATGGCGGTAGAAAGATTTTCAATGGAGTTAGCACTTGAATAATATATGTTATTAGATGATCATATAAAGATGATAACAACAAATTGCTGTTGATGATTAGAATCACGAAAGCTTTTACTTCCTCATAATCATCAGTTGTTAGACTTCAACTCCATTGTCACAGAGAAGACTAGAGGGTACAGACTAAAGACTATATGCTGCAATGAGTTGTCCGCTAGTCCCGTCCATTTTGATTTTACTTGGGGACAATCTCAAGTCACCAAATATAGTGCTTGTTAGGGAGATAACCAGTTGCATACTCATATATGATTGGAAGTTAATTTGATATCCACTTTTGGATAAGTAAATCATTTTATAAGTCCATTTCTAGAGAAGTAATATTTAGAGACTTTGAAAAGTCCATTTTCTAAATGGAGTTTTGCAAAAGGCTCCCAAACAAGTAGAGTATTCGCCTCTTCAACCACAGCCTAAGAGCACTCAGAGAGCCAATTTTTTACCAATGGGGACAAAAAACCATATTTGCAACGCTACCCCTATAATCCAACAGAACTAGTCTAGCACTGTAACACCATATGAAGACCTACTTTCTGGAAAAAGAGTGTTCTTGATACAAAATTTCATACTAACTTGCAGAGGAATAAGGAAAGAAAAAAAAAAGAAGAAGATGGATTATTGTGAGCATGTGTTTAGTAAAATGTAAGTTGTCTTGATAGGCTAAAGAAGTTATCACTTCGAATAAAGTATCAAAGACTCCAAAACTAACATATTATTATCCATGTATGAGAAAATCATGCCAAAATGTTATAAGAATAGACTTAAAAACAGTATATAGACATATAATAAAGATTTTGAACCACCTGAAAGGAATAGAAAAAGGTGGTGCAAAATAATTATGAGTCAATTTCAGACAAAATATGCACCTGTGTATAAGCATCAATTGCAGCCATAAAGTCTTTCCTCCTAAAAGCATCATCACCTCTGGCCTTCGCTTCAGCAGCCTTCTTCTTGGCTTCAGCTGTTACCTGGACATTGAAGTTCATTAATAAGTAACACTGAAAATAGTACTACAACTAAAAACAGCCCTTCTTCACCTTAACTGATTACAAAAAGATACCCAAATCACACCAGTTTGGTGCCGCTCTCAGTCATTAATTGATTATACTGCAAGGATATTCATAAATGCGCTTTTTGAATACTACAGATAATGAATTTTGGATAGTTCTGGATTACACAACAGCCAACACCATTTTACCATTCGAAATCTCTACAAGAATATGGAGTCACCAATTATGAGATTGCTAGGATTATAACAGGACTCACATGCTTCCAACACTTCTTCTTCTTTTTTTTTTTTTAAAAGTTAGGTTCAAGACATAAAATGATGAGGTAACAAACTTGAGCAGTATTTCTGAAGACAAGGGAAATGAAACATGAAACAGTTCTTCTAGTTTTTAACGTTTTCTCTATATCAGACTATCACCATCCTATCAAGTATTCCTTGTTTTCTTAACTTCGCACAATGCAGATCAACAATGGTGCAGGAGGGGTAGATAAGTAAAGGGGAAAAAAGAAAAAAAGAGAAAAAAAAAAATGGGGATACAGAGCGATATGATTCACAAAAGCATGAACATTCCCAACCACAATCCACAATATCCCATCAATGAGAAAATAGCCAATAAGAAATACATGGCAGGTGAGAAATAATTGGGAAAAAAAATGTATATATATATATATATATATGCTTCTGCAAGAAAAGAGAAAATATGTATCTTAGAGTAAGTCGAGAAAGACCTCCGGTATATCTTGCTTTGACAGTGCATTATCCTTCAGTTTGCTAGATTCCTTCAAGCTTTTATTTTCATCCTGCATTAGTTTACTTTACATTGTCACTATATAAAATCTGGTAAGCAATAAACCAACATCTGACGTATCCAACATCTGTCCACTATAATTATACAGTACTGACAAAAGACAAACCAAATGTTGTCAGCCCTTCAATATATGAAAGTACAAGTACCTCACTTCTGCCTGATATATGTTGCATGTGTTGAAGAATTCCATCAATACTCCATTCTCGAACAGATGCAACTGCAGTTGTATGGGGAAAAGAATTTCAACAGCCACCTTGTTTCCTCCATCCTCTGGTAGCCGCCACTTGTACTGGCTTCAAGCCATCCTGCAGCAGAAAAAAATTTACGATTAGATGTGCTTCCAATACTTGAATGGCGATATTAGTTCAAAATAAACAATTTTTTCTGCAAGTTCATAAATAAACAACACTCGATTGAACCCGATTCGATTTGTAAACGAAGTCAGTTTTTTATTCATATTCGATTTGTTTGGAATATTCGAACATATTCGATTCGATTCGAAATTCGTTTTCAGAAAATATTATAATTGAAAAGAAAAATTATAATTACAAAAATATTGTTTATGTTTTTCCTATCCAAATGGTTTTAGGGAAAATTGTTAATTTGGGATGTTTTTTCATTTTATGTCATAAAAATATGAGGAATATATATATATATATATATATTATATTATAAACAAAAAAATATACTATTTATAATTTGTAAAATTTGTATAATTATCGTTAACGAATCAAATATTCGATAATTTCGAATCTGATATCTACAAATTCAGATTCGAAATCGTTTAACTTTCAAATGTAAAATATTATTTGTATTCGAATTCGAATATCACGAATATCGAATTCGAATATCGAATCGAACCAAAAAAATTCGCTTATTGTAGACAAAGCCTACCTGGAAGGATAAAAAAAGACGCTGGAAGCAATTATCGCCCGGGTTCGCATAAACCGAGGCTATACTCCCCGGGTTAGTCCGTCTGATCTGTTCGCAGGTAACCGATAACATTCCTCGAACGAGCCACGCATGGAAGCCATGATTCGCTCTTTCCCTCTCCACGCTTGCTTGTACGAGAGGGTTATGCCGTGAGTTCGGTGAATTTCTTCGAGTATTTCTTTGGGTTTGTAGTTAGGGTTTTCCCGGAGTTTTTGCTCGACCGAGTTCGCGACCCATTGAACAGAGGCCTGCTGGTGGCCGAGATGGGCTATGCCGCCACAGTTATGGGCTCCGTTTATGGTTCGAATAGTGAAAGTGGGGACTCCGGGGAGTTTTGCGGCGTGGATTCGCCAAGGGCTCGTCTGCAGGCCTTGGCGTCGTCAAATTCTTGGCCCACGTGGAGTTCGAAGTTTGGGCCCGCTGCTGAAGGACGTGAGAAGATGATGGACGAGTGGTAAAGGCCCGTTTCGTGGGTCGGGTTCGGGTCGAGGTCCGGTGGGTCGTGATGGATCTCGGCAAGCTCGTGGGATATCTCGTCGGGTTCGGCTATTTCGAGCTCGGGTTTGTTGTCTGTCAGGAGGTTGTGCTCGGGAGGCTCGTATTCTGTTAAATGGGTTCCTTCTTGGTCATGGGGTTGAACTATCTCCAAACCGAGGTTTCGGGCGAAGGAGCTACTTGTGTTTTGTTCGAGCAATATGTTGTGGGTTCGTCATTTTTAGTCTGTTCTTTCGTCTGCTGCAAATTATATGCAGACTAACGATTAATTACTAATACAATAAGCTACAGGCAGGGATTGGAGTGTGCACAGAGACATTTTCAATATCTTATGGATATATATATACAAAATCCCAGCTGACTGAAATGAGAAATCAGTTCAAATAGTGAGAGGTTCAATTCAATTCAATTCAACCTCAACAATATTGAATTCAAAAATCACGTTCTGTCAAAGTTCAGCAATATATACAATTCACTATCATAACATCAAATTCAAACCCATCAACCATCAGCATAACTCAAAACATAGATAAAATAAATATTGACATGATGTGGGAAAATTATGACGAATTATGACATAAATTCGTTTAGAAAATATTCAAAAATTAGATTTATTTTTTATTTTTTAAATCTTTACAGTAATTCGTACGTTCCTTTTCATACGCTTAATTTATCAATTTTACACATACAAATCAAAATTAATGCAACTCGAAATATTATATAACAAATAAAATGAGATTTTTATCTAACATTTAGTATATTGCCGGAAAATTTTTTATAAATCTTATTCTCTTTTTATGCACATAGATATTAAAGAATGAGTAAAAAAAATATCTAAATATGTTTAAAAGTATCTAATATTATATGTGTTAACAGTGTTACAACCAAAAGACATTAAGAATACGCAGACTATTATATAACATATGTGAAAGTATTAAATTATTTTATATTATTATTGAAAAATGTGAAATTACCTCAATTTTGTCTAGACTATTTTATAAGAAAAATATATATACTTAAAGTTAGCACACACACATATATATATCCTTCAAATTTGCCCAACTAACATGTTTAAAAGTATATAAAATTTTATATATAAAATACGTTTAAAGTTTACATATTTTACAAAAATTAGACTGCTCTCAGTTTATATAAAGTTTGTTGCTCTCATATTCGGATAATGTATTATGCATTTAATGAAAGCACCTACGATACAAATTTATAAATATTAATTAAAATAATTTTCTAAATTATATAAAATTGAAATAACAAAGGTAAATATTACCTGTTCATCGTGAAAATGCGTTACAGCTCTCCCGTTCGTGATGGGTTTCAACGGACTGCTCTCAGACACAAAAAAGGTTGTTATAAATATTAATTAAAATAATTTTCTAAATTATATAAAATTGAAATAACAAAGGTAAATATTATCTGTTCATCATGAAAATGCGTTACAGCTCTCCCATTCGTGATGGGTTTGAATAATGCGGACTGCTTGGTTTCAATAATGCGGACTGCTCTCAGACGCAAAAAAAGGTTTGTTATAAATATTAATTAAAATAATTTTCTAAATTATATAAAATTGAAATAACAAAGGTAAATATTACCTGTTCATCATGAAAATGCGTTATAGCTCTCCCGTGGGTTTCAATAATGCGGACTGCTCTCAGACGAATAAAAGGTTTGTTTCTTTTGTTAACGTACCCCAGTCTGGAAGCATTATATATCAAGTGTACCCCAGCCTGCTCGTGATGAGTTTCAATAATGCGGACTGCTCTCAGACGCAAAAAAGGTTTGTTATAAATATTAATTAAAATAATTTTCTAAATTATATAAAATTGAAATAACAAAGGTAACTGTTCATCATGAAAATGCGAATATTACCTGTTCATCATGAAAATGCGTTACAATTCTCCTGTTCGTGATGGTTTCAATAATGCTTTGTTATAAATATTAATTAAAATAATTTTCTAAATTATATAAAATTGAAATAACAAAGGTAAATATTACATGTTCATCATGAAAATGCCTTACAACTCTCCTGTTCGTGATGGATAATGCGGACTGCTCTCAGACGCAAAAAAGGTTTGTTATAAATATTAATTAAAATAATATATCAAGTTTACCCCAGCCTGGAAGCATTATATTGTATATGCGACGAAAAATTATTCTCTCTATTTTTTTTTTCTCTGAACTCGTGAATGATGAGTTGTAATGGTGGTAGTGAATATCCTTTTATACAATTTTTTATTAACAAAAGTGATAAGATAATTATGGATTGTATTTGGATAGATTTTAAATACCATGATTTTTGGGATGCATAATTATCTTATCACGTTAAAGGTATATCCATCCCTAAATATATGTTAATAAAAGGATTTTGAAAGGATTTTTGGGATGATAATATCCATCCCTAAATATATGTTAATTAGTAAAAAATTAACGTGATATCACCATTTGTATTTAAATATATGTTAATTAGTAAAAAATTGTTTTAAAAGGATTTTTGGGATGATATTTGGATAGATTTTAAATACCATGATTTTAGGGATGGATATACCTTTAACGTGATAAGATATATATCCATCCCTAAAAAACAGGAAAAAAAAACCATATATTTTGAAAAGATTTTTAAATTAGTTTCTACAAATGGAAAGTCAATGGGGTTGTTGACCAATTTTTTAAAACTTTCCCAAAAGGATTTATTGACCTCTCTTTTTCAATATATAT